TTAAACGAATTTTGTGCAATTCCACGTTTTAAATAGGATGGCACAAAGTTGAAGATGCTGAAACCATGAAAATAATGAACTCGACAAATATGATAAACAACTAATAAACCGAGCGCGTGTGTTTTGACTGCATGTCATCGCCTCTCTTACGTTCGGTCTTCATTGTTTTATTTTAATATTATATTTTTTTTTAATAAGAGGACAAAGTCCGAAAAGTAGGAATATTTATTTATTTATGTTGCTTCTGCTTAAGGTGGCAGAATAAAGTCGAGTCCCGTGCATTGGTGATATAGCGACGATACCGGATGGCTCAAATGGTACTGAGTAGAGTGTTCACCTCCGGTGCAGTAGGTTGTGGGTTCAATCCCCAGCCGGGTGACACCAAAGACCATCATAAAAATGGTACCTACTGTCTCCTTGCTTAGCACTCAGCATATATTAGAGGTTGAAGTAGGGGACAATGCCAGTGTTGAATGACTGGTAACAGAGGGCAATGTAGAAGATAAGCTTACGCTTAACATGTTTACCCTCTTTAAATAAGTAAAGTTTAAAAAAAATAATAAATAAAAAAGTAGCAATCATCGCTGCTGCGTCAGCGCGGAATTCTTTCTAATTCCCTTATAATTAACGCAGCCATTAATTAGCGCTGAACTAGCTTGGGAATATTTTATACCAGGGCAATTAGTGTAAATAATCCTGCATCTGATAAACGCCTTAGGGTCACGCAGGACTGAATTTGAACAAATCCCGTCTTAATGAGAGAAAGGGCGAGATCACAATGGAAGTGTTAATCTACTAATCTGATTGCGTTCGACCAGCAGTTCCCGCGAAGTTGGTTCGAACTACCGAGCACGATAGTTTAATGTGAGCGCACCCGAACAGTCAGGAAACTTTATGACATATTTTTCCATGCTCTACATCAGTTCATAAGCAAACATGATTAATGTGACCAAAACATAGTTTTAAGAAGGAAACATGGAAAAACAATGACATCCTGTTATTCTAATATACAACAAACTGTAAACTGCCAGCCCACGTCTCAACAGGAAAGATCAGTGAGGTTAGAAAAGACTTGCTGATGAAGTTACTATATTCTAATAGGAATCATAACTTCCGCTACTTTTTTATACAGTTTTTCCACAATTCTTTCCACTTCTTTCTCTTCTGCCACTTGCCAAAATAGTCCCCTAGCTGACGTTAACCTATAGACCAAAGTAGAAGAAAAAGAAAGATGTCAAATTTTTTATAACTTCTACAGTAGAAGAAATTAATGCTTAAAATGAGCTGTAATTTGCATAAAGATTTATGTGCCATAGGCAAGACTGAACTCCAGGCAGATTTTAAATCCGCCTAGGCAAGACTGAACTCTAGGCAGTTCTTAAATCCGCCTAGGAAAGATTGAAATACCAAGTCACAGACATTTAGGAATTATAAATGGATTAATTTTATCTCTTATAAAGTCATGTTAGTTTTAAAATCTATGTCTGAAAATATATGTTATTAACTAAACTGCACATTGTTAAAACATTAACAAAGCATTTATCCATTGTAGTTATTTTGCCTCACACTGGTCTCTTTGGCTGGTCCCTTACGTACTTTGACAAATATTTTAGTCCTTCTTCGTTTTTACTTGCTAAAACACAGTCATTAGTTGACACAATTATAAGTAGCTGCATTTAGGTCTAGTTAGATGTGTCTCGTTATCGCGATAAAGTTGTGTAATATTTTAACCTGGCCATATTTAAGAATGATTTAATTTTTTTACGTGTGTTAGATTTATTCCGTACATTTTATTTCTTTCGTCCTGAGCAGGAAGATAAATAAATAAATAAATAAATAAATAAATAAATAAATAAATAGGTCAGGTTAGGTAAAAAAATGATAGGATACATTCATGGTGAGGGTTAATCAATTAATGAATAATGAGAATTAAGTTAATATAACTCTTTAATAAATATAATCAGTAATCCATGTTTTAAAACCGCGCCTCGTATGCGTCTCAGCACTGTTAAGATATGTAGATAAAAACACAGATAAATTAAAAAATAATATAAAAGTAAAATAAACTAAAAATGCATTAAAAGATTATTTTATTAATGATACTCATTATAATTTATTAATTAATTTATTAATGATACTCGCACTATAAAATTGGGGCAGCAGTCTCAAACTCCACTGACCATATGTTTTAAGTATTTTTTTGTATTATTTCGTGTAAGTTGAAATTGACCACTGGATGAAAGAGTTCTCTAGGGAGTCAAAAGTTCTATCATATGGTTCGCTTTTAACGGGCGGTCGCCCTTTTTAAAAGTCAAGGGTAATATCTTACAGATTGGCCACCTAGACCCGGGTAGTCAATGAAGAACGTGGAAAACTGGTGCGATTTGGTCGAACTTCTGAGTTTTACGGAGGAGAAATTGGAATATATTTTTTTCCATTTAACAGTTAGGTTTTTCAAACAAGAGTTGTTATTAATAAGAGGTTTCATCTCCCTCTGAAACCACCGTCTTATAGTTGTGTTCTCAACTAAATATCTGGTAATTTACGCTAGTTGCCCATTTCACATAAAATGCAATTCACGTTACCTAGAGAAACTACCTGGGCAGAATATTTTCCTCAGCCAGATAAGAATTTTCCTAGTTTAGTTAAAATTAACAGTGCTCGTTTGATAACAGCACGCATAGCCGTTAACCAAAGTATCATATGTGAGATAGATGCTTGTTATTAAAGAGCAGCTGTGTGACGAAATTAATACAATATTTATTATATTATAATACAGATATAATATTTATATCTGTGTAACTTATTTACTTATCTATCTTATGTAATTGTCATTAATCGTAATTATCAATGTCATCAAACTGGCCTTGAACAGCCATGTAAACAGCTATGTAAGGGTGGTTTTAAGTTTTTTTAAAACATATTCTTTTTGTGTAACATGTTTATAGTATGTTTATAGTAAATTTATAATCACACCAAGGTTTATCTCATTGCTTAGATAGAATATTTTATGAGTAATTTTACTAGTACTTATGTTCATTATATAAAGATGGTAATGCACTAACTGTATTGTATCGTCATTTGTATATCATATTGTACAAGGTCATGACAATCTGTGTACCAGTACAGAAATAAATTGAATTGAATTGAAAGTTAATCTCATGCCAAAATTCGCGCTAGACACAGTAGAAAAAATGAATTAGCCGGGCAAATATCATTTTGTGAATATCTTGAAAAATCAATCTGCAAACCTGCGGGTGGGAATGTCTTACTTTCTATCAAGTAGGGTATCATTACGACTTTATATTGGACAGTGACCAAGTAATTCAGCTCAAGGATATTCGATCCAATTTTCTTAATGAGAGGTTTATCCGTGATTGTAACTGACGTACACTAAAGAGCTTATGGCAACATGCAATGGAAGAAACGGCATTATCCAAGCAAGCAGGATATGTTTCAGGAGATTTGTGTAAAAAAAAAAAAAAACATCTTGTGACACAGGCTACCCATAACAAGATTTCAAAACTACCATCAATTTATAAGCAAAGCATATACACAACACTGTAAGCAAGCATCATATTCTTTTCAAAATTTTTATTTTCTATAAAATTTCTAATAAGGTTCCACAGTCATTGAATGCTTCCATCACTGTCTCATCTAATTCACATTGCATTAAATCCAGCTAACTCCTGCAGAGTCCATAGCTACCTTTTAGTTTTGACACTTGAAGCTACGGTATTTCTGCAACTACTGTCCATTTCACATTTTACAGCTCTGAGTCAATTGCCTGCTGATGCTGAAATGAATTTACTCAGCTCTGTCCCAAGCTGTGAATAGTCACCCCTTTCTGGGAATGACCGGCCTTCACAATGACCTAGATATACATCTATATGGGTCACTGACCTACAAAGATCTGTATATGGGTCACTGATCTAATTAAAACACTCCACTGTCTCTTGTAACTCCCTCACATTTCTCCACATTGAGAAATTTGAACTGGAATTTTAGGCTTGTTGTTTGGTCCCGTGGGGACATTCTCTATCTTTCTTAGTACAAGAAGTCCATCAATTATTCTACCTACAATGAAAGTGAGAAATATTTTTTATGCACAAAAAAATAGGAAACAAAAAATAACAAAAAAAAAGTTAAGCAAGACTAGGCTTGAAGAGTTATAAGACAAAGTAAATTAATATTTTTTATGAACCACTTCTGCAGGTGGTGTTTTCTTCGAAGAAATCCTTCCTCGTAAAATTATGAGGGGTTATGTTTTTTATCAATCTAAACCAAAAACTGCTTCTAAGGAATGAAACAAAGTTCCTTTCAAATGTTCTTACAATTTGAGTAAAAGCCAAAGATTAATTGTGTCCTTAACAATGAATATGTCCCTTCTAAAGCAGCATTTAGAAACAAACTGAAAGAAATAATCATGTCCTGAAATTTGCATGTTGATTAAGAAAAAAACCTACCAAATACAACATGTTTTCCATCCAAAAAGTCACACTTGGTACAGGTGATAAAAAACTGACAGCCATTGGTGTCTGTGCCACTGTTTGCCTGAAGACAAAAAAAAAACTGTAATTCATTATTTTCACAAATATGGTTCACTTTTGATAATTAAATCTCACATAAGTTTTAGTCTCATCTTAAAAATGTCATTTCACCTAAACTGAGAATATTTTGTTTATACAGCACACAATGAAAGGCGTTCAATGAAAGAAATGTCCTGTCAAATTCAAAATTATTTTAATCAGTTTGTAAAGATCACAATAAGTAGACACATGTATTGAGAATATTTTCTTTATACAGCAAACAAGAAATAGAAAGTCCTGTTACATTCAAAATTTTTCAAATCAGTTATTTTTTATATTCTCAATGAATAGACACATGTGAAGAGCACAGTCCTGTAGTGACCAAATAATAAACTATATACTGCAAAAGCTTAACTTAGTCCCCATACCTACACACACCATCTGTCATCAACCAACCTCGACGGGGACTCTCGCTGAGTGCAATCAGCTTAACTGAATGACACACCTCCTCTTATTTCCAATTTACTCCTAAAATCACCAGCTCTTCTATATTCTACTCAATGCAAGGAGGAGGCATGTCATTCAGTTAAAGGGATAATAACTCTTCGTTTTGGCTAAAAAATGAATTTTCCTGGAGTGAACAACAATTTTCCCATACTAACCAGTGGTTAATGAATCCATTTCTACATTCAACGTTAGTCCCTGTTTTTTTTTTTTTTTTTTTTTTTTTTGTTGTTTTTTTTCCTAAAAAGTTTGGTTTTTTGTTAAAATCTCTTAAGAGATTATAACAGAGTATAGCCATCAATGGAAGTCACGTGGTCTGAAGACAAGCTCAGATATCAGAATAATAGCTATAACTGCTGTTTTTGTGGTAAAACAGAATATATTATATTTGTATGAGTTGTTTATATTGTTTTTATTGTGAAATATAGATCTCATATGAAGAGTTATTATCCCTTTAAGCTGATTGCACACAGTGAGTCCTGCAGGGTTGAGTTAATCTATGTAGACCAATGGTGTCTGTTGGAATGGGGCCTTAGGTTCTATTCAGAATAGACGATCCACTTACTGATCCACTGACTAAATATGGCCAACCACAGTTCAAAAGTGATGCCGCTGATTCCTGATGGTCACCCCATCTCCACATGTGCCTTTAAATGGATTAAATCGCTGCTCCAAGGTTTCATTGCTAGACCCCTGCAGCGACGCCGTGTGTGGAACCAATGGCATTACTTTTGAACTGTGATGCCATATTAAGTCGGTAGATCAGTACGTACTCAGATCATCCATTCTGAATAGTGCCTTAGAAAGTATGCAGCCTTAAGTGATGTTTAACCTACCATTGATAAATAACCTGCCCCTACATGTTTTAATTTGAAGTTTTCATCTGCAAATGAGCTGCCATAGATGCTACATACACCCGTTCCATCTCCCTGAAACAGATGTAATAATGTTCCATTAAATACTACAATCTTTATAATAATAATAATAATACTGAATATGATTAGATTTATAATAATAATAATAATAATAATAATAATAATAATAATAATAATAGTAGTTTTTGTTGTTATTATTATTAATCCCATGCTTTCAAAAGTGTCACCCCATATTTGAGCTGTGGCTCAGTTAGGCCCAGCTCAACTTGGTTGTGAACAGAACCTGAAAATTAAAAACCCACATGTACTGTGGGTATTTCCATACTAGTACTTACATTTACGAAGTCTCCTCCTTGCACCATGAAATCTTTGATTACTCTGAAAATATATTTAAAAAATTACATTATATTTTAAAAATTCTCCTTACAGATGCAGTGTGATAACTGAAAATACTTGAATATTAGTTGAGTAATCTACTTCTTTGGACTAAACAGATGTATAATTTTAGCCCAATAAACATCTTGAGAAAAAACAATGATAACTTTGGCAAAATAATAATTACAAATAATAACCTCAAGCACTTTATTTTCTTTCATTAAATTTAAATTTAACTTAACTGTTAAGTAACAAGAGATATGTACCTGTGAAATGAGCAGCCTTTATATCCTATGGGGACTCCATCCCTTCTATACTCTCCTGTACAGAGCTGCCTGAAGTGGTTTGGAGATTTTCTTATTTACATGTACCAAGTTATAACATACAGGTAATAGTACAATGCACATACATAATTCTATTTTGTAACAATAAGAAGTCATCTGCAGCAACAGCTCATTATTAACTATAACATGTACATCACAGAAAAATAACCGTGTGTGTGTGTGTGTGTGTGTGAGAGAGAGAGAGAGAGAGAGAGAGAGAGAGAGAGAGTGAGTGAGAGAGAGAGAGAGAGAGATAGTGGGACTGAAATACCTCAACATGTTTCACAAATAAATTGTCCAAGTTTAAGATGGTTACATTGAAACAAATGTGTATTGGGGTACCGGTATTTTATACCTGAAATTTTCAGCCGTCTTGGGGACAACATCAGCAAACAGCTCAAATTTAACGCGTCCAATTTCCTGTAATAAACAAAAACTATTACTCTGACGGGTCATCATTACATCGGTGCATTCAAATATTCAAATTATTATTCTCGAACATAAACAATGCAGTCAATACTTTCAACTCGCGTTTTTTCGAGTGCCACTTTTAACGATCAAGTTGCCAAGCTTTTCTAAACTCATTGTTTATCTAGTTTGGGACGATTTTAATTTGACATTTCACATTCTCACCGTATTTCCGACAGTTATATCAAAGAAAACAACGGGGTTGTTAGGATTTGGTTTCTCCGAGACCGACATGCTTGCGTTGACCTAGTTTTACGGACTGAAAATAAGTACATTCAGCAGCAACCATAGAGCGACAGCCTGATTAAAAAAAAGGGAATATTTCAGTGAAAATATTTGCTGCCGTCAAAAATTCAATTTTTGGAATTATATGTTCTTTTCATTTTTCTAGAAAACCAGATAAAAACACAACATAATTTCCAGGTGAGCATCCAATGCTATAGTTGAGCTAGTTAAACCAATCTGAAGTGAAATTGATTGCTTCCCTATAAGACTATGAAGTCAACCTAAAATAGGAAAGAAACTTTTTTTTTCAAAAGAAAAAAAATGTATTGGGGAAAATCCTCATCGTAAATAAATAAAAAAAAAAAAGAGACGGATGGTGAGTGCATTATCCATCAATTAATACATTATCAACCAATTTTAAAATAAATAGTTAACTGCATGGGCTCATACTGAACATACGGTTATTCTACATGTATATACATGTAATTATTCAAAATATCGATATTTACAAACTTTTTTTCGGTTGAGTACACGTGTATATCAATAACAAATGCATTTATTCAAAATTTCCACATTACATTCGACAAGCTGAAGCGAAATTGAAAACATTTACAATGTACATGTAGGGTAGACCGGGGCTAAACGCCCCCCTTAAGCAAGAAACATCACAATTTTCCCTGCTGAAGGTATAGACCGTTCAAAGTGGGTGTTAACTATGAAGGGCTGACTAGACTACAAACTGATACTAACACTTTTGGAAACAAACAAAAGAAAAACCTTATAGGTAAAAAATAGGTAAATTATAAAATCGGCCTTTTTGCCCCATGGCTGGGGCATTACGCCTCGCACCACGGGGCTAAACGCCCACCGTGGGCGTCTTGCCCCAAACTATAGGCGTTATGCCCCGCCTTTGTACAAAGCAAAATAAAATCAAATTATATTTCTACGAGACAACTTAGTAAGCCTTTAAAAGCAACATATAATATTTTGGGGTACTGAGATAATAAAAATACCCATCAAATTTATTCAGAATGAGCTGTAATTCTACTCTTTACGACAGGGCACTGTGATACTTCCAAAATTAAGTTCCTAGTACAGCCACTTGCTTTGGCTTTTCCCCATATAAGTGTTATAACTGATGATATACAATAAAAAAACATGCATGAAAGAACACTTCCGCATCTTTTTAGAATTATTTTTTATTTAAAAACGAAAGGGGGCAAAACGCCCAGTGATCGGGGCAAAACGCCCACTATAGGCGTTTTGCCCCATATCAGCATGGGCGTTTTGCCCCAAAGTGAGATTTTGTATATTTTTTCAAAATTCGGCGGGAAAAGTTTTATACAATCTGACTTCATCGAAACTTGTATGGAGGTCTGATACCATCCTATCTGTCACCAACAAAGTTTTTTGAATTCGTGCATTTGGTAGGTGGTGTCACTGATGTTAAGGAAAAGGCTAAATAACAGTAAACAAGGCAAAAATGAACAAATTATCATAAAATGCTTATTTTTTAGTTTGTGGTCATCTCCGTCATGGAGGATAAGTCTGCTGGAAATCGGAAGTGGAAAAAACATCACGAGACGCGTATTTATACGTAATACCTGAAAAAAAGCGGGTGGGCGTTTGACCCCGACTGGGCGTTTAGCCCCGGTCTACCCTATATATAGCTGTCAAATTTTATGCAAACTAAATGTTTTCTCCTTCGCTATTTAAAAGAAATGTCATCACTATAGATCCGATGCTTACTGGAATAGGCGAGTGATTCCCGTTTTTATTATTATTATTATTTTTTTTTTTTTTTACCGATTCCTGGATAGGAAATGTTGCCCTATTCACCGCGGTGACCCCCTCCCCCATATCTGTAGGCCCTAGTATCTATCTTACTATTGTATCATATCTTTCTTAAACTCCATTGCCTTGTATGCTTTCGAGTTCAGTCTCTTTATTTTTCTGATGTGTATTAGTTAGCAAAATTTTTGTCATCACGGGGCAGGGAAAATTTTTCTGTAATATGTGATTTTTTTCTGACGTACATATGTAATATATTTTGTAACATGTGAAAACAACATATGAACTTTTTCCGTAACTTTTCATTTCATACAAATCATTTCTTTCACGAACATTAATAAACATTTGCACGGAGCCCCGTTTTATTTTATAAATGTAGGCTTGCTCTTCAAAAAATCGACGGAAAATTACTGATATGTTATGTAGTACTTTTTGTTCCTGTCGACGGTTTCTCGGTCAGTAACTCCACGATTGGCTGACTGAAATTAGGTCAAGTTTCTGTACACGTGCTATAATCATGCCGTGGACATGAAACGAGGTCACGGGGTCAAATTTACAACAAGCCAATAAAACAGCGCGTTTTGAGAGGTGTAGGTTACATTGACCAATCAAAGGCTCGGTTTTATAGACACTCCCATTTCAACCATCACAATGCTCAATGACAACAACATCATGGTATTTATGTAGCCGTCTAGAAGAAGTTGGAAAATTGGGGAAATTGTACAAGCCAGCGTGTTAGACTTAGCGACATGTCTGCCGATTGGAAGACATGGGTTCATCTTATTGCAGGCGGGTGAGTAGACATGAAGTCCTGTTTCTTGCAGGGATAACGGGATCTTTCTGTCTAAAACGTGGTGTGCAATGCCCAAGTAATGACAATATAGTAATGCAATGTAGCTGGCCCTGATGTAACAGCAAGGAAATATTTCAAACCATACTCTGTCCCATAATGTTTGATTAACTATCACTTTAGTGGAAATGGTGACTTACAATAATTACTTGATTGTTCGTGCGTTTATTTAGAATTTCGTGAGGGGGGGGGGGTCCAAGTTATATAACAATTTCCTGTGGACCCATATCACTTGTATTTTGTTTATGACACTTTTAAGTTATTATTTTCATTGTTTTAATCACATAGATGCACACGTATATATGATTAAATGACCTGAAGTCTTGATATGTCAAGTATCACCCAAACACTGTCCTTATCAAGATAGTTTGATATTGTGATGTATTCGCAAAAATAGCCTAAACTTGTCCCTTGTGGCAACTCAAGATTACAATCAAGTGTTGCTGTTACAGTTTTATGAGGATAAGGTGGTGAAAGACAAGAGGCTATTTTTCTATTTGATCTGGACTTTTCTATTAAGTCAAGCTTGAGCCTTTTATGTATAAGTATTTGTCAAGGGCTAAGCTGTGAATTCATTTCTTTTATTTCTTGTTGGTGAAATAACTGCAAAGTATAGACGGGGAATTTACTGATGCACACTAAAGGGGGTTTTATTTTCATAAGTACAGAAAGGTGTCATCTGTTGTCATACAAAAGGTCAGCAGAATTCCCTCAGGACAAAATTTTGATGATCTAAATATATTACCAAACCTTTCTTGATTTTGTCACCTTGTACCTATTTACTTCAAGCATTTATTTATTTATTTTGGCTTAGGCCCTAGGTATGAATAAGCTTGTGGTATATTAATGTTACAAGTCCTGGTAATAACAACTAAAGAAGTTCATACAGGAAGTAAATATGATAATGGATTCATGTGAGTCATCATACAGTGGTGTGCTTTTAAAGGATGTGCATTTCTAAAGAGAATGATAAAGAGTAAGAAAATAAATTGTAGAAAGTAATGATGGGATTTCCCTATGGATAATTTGATCTCTCTCTCTCTCTTTCTCTCTCTCTATCTGCTTCGGAAACAATCTATGCCCATTAATTCATTATTTCATGGTCACCAGAAAGTATAGGCTATTAACTTATCTGCATGGCCAAAATATAGCACATGAGAAGGCCATAAAAATTCAGGAGTAACGGAGGTTTGATTGACTCATCTCACCTTGCTACCACGTGCTCGCTATGTGTGTACGGATCATCAGTGCGAATCCCACACATACATTTGGCATTCTTTCTATCTTGTTAATGTCAGTTAGGGCAACCCCTTAACCCTGATGGACTATTATTTTCGGAGCACCAGGATGTTGCCGACAGCTTAGGTGTCTGACTTGTTCATTAATTGGTTTTGATGCCAGCTACCTTATTGTTCATTAATTGTCATGAATATTAAGTAACAAAGTTTGGATTGGTGGGTTAACTTGAAAATAGGCCTGTGTGTGCGTGCTGCGGTGCACACACGTATGACCAGATGTCACACATTGTGTTGAATCTTCCTCAGAACCAGTCTAAGTTTAATGATTAGACAATAAAATTATTATTCTGGGGAAGCGCTAACACTCACCAAATTAGCCAAATGCTAAAACTGACTTACTAGTAAGTTGGCTAAACAAAAAAAAAAAAAAAGATGGTTGATTTAACTTGCTTTATTCAAATTTAAACCATTTGGGGAAAAAAAAGAGATGAGAAAGCTATGATTTGGCTAAGAGAAAAAAATTGCCACAATACCCCAGATTATTATGTTTACTAATTATAATTGTTTATCTGTTTGTTTTGCAGAGTTGGTGGAACCTGCGGTGCAATACTGACATGCCCTTTAGAGGTTTTAAAGACACGCCAGCAGTCTTCATGCTGCCATTTTTCACAAACGGTCAGCTATGTCCCTTCACCAATGTTCACCACACAACACAGGGCCAAATACAGCACTTCTACCAGTATGGCCGTGATGGTGGATTCCTCCAGTAATGTACCCAATAGACCCCGATTGCAAATTTTAGCTTGTCTCAGGTATTGTTAAGAATATTTCGTAGAACTAGTATTATTATTGATGATAGAATTGATGAAATATTGATATTGATTTATTTTAAAAATTGACATGAAGATGAGGTGTTGTTTGATGAAAGTGTTTTTACCAGGAAATTGGTAGAAAAGATAAACATGTACTTGTATATTCAGACTCGGGGATTATTTCTGAAATGGGTCTCTCTCTCTCTTAGAGAATTATGGCTAAATGATAGTAGATATCATGGGGGCTGCAGGGGGGGGGGGGGCACTTCAGCCTGAAACTAATATTTTATTGTCCTTTATGGACTTGTCCTGAAGTCCTGAGGTAATGTTTACATCGGTCAGAGATTTGGCACAGCGGGGGCATGTCCTTAAAACTGTGCACACATTGGGCATTGTTAAAATGGCTTGAACAGGCTTCCTTTACTTGGCATGGTAATTGTATTGTTCAGATGGTAAAGGTGTTAGAGTAGCCAGTTGTGGACTTACGATAGACAAACCATGTGGTGATACCCTTAAGAAGATTACAGATGTGTTGCCTCTCCGTTAAAATTCTTAGTTTAACTTCTGCTAAATCATAAACCTATCCAAAGACTTAGTTCAGTTTTTTCAATGCCTTTGATCCCTTAGTTTATATTTTTTTCATCCACTGTTTGTGTATGGTAGGAAAAGTTTCAGAACTTCATTTTGCCAAAGATGCATGTTGGTTAGTGCACTTGACATAATTTAGTCAACTATGTTTACTTAAGACAATTCTGCTGGACTAAGGCTGTTGTGGACTTAAGGGATTAAGGTCACACACTTGATAAGAAGTCAGATGTATCTTGCAACGAAAGCCTCATTGTTAGTACTTAGCAGAATTAACAGGTACACCAAAGCTCCGAAAAAATTATAGTTTACGTGAAAAGTCAGCCCATTAAAAATTGACATCTATTTGATATTTTGTTTTTTGATAATAATAAGAAAGAAGTGTATACAGACAATGCTAATTTACATGTTTCAGATGCCCATATTTACTGTTTATATCAGTAGAGCTGTATCCTCAAATGGATTTGCTTGCTTTGACAAATTATTGATTACATAAGCTCTTGCACAGAGAAATGAGTAAAGGTCAAGAAGCTGAAGATGGAATTGAGAAGAAAAGTCAAATGTTGATATTTAAATGTGGCAGAGCCATTGTTTTAACATTGTGTTAAAACATATGACTATGCTTCCTCCCCCACCCCTGTTGTTGCTCTGTTTTCTCCCCAAGTATTGAAGTTATGTAACAATATCAGCTGGCAGTGAGAGTGAATTATTTTGTTTACATGAACTATTATTTATAGCAGAATATAATATATGGACCCTGGATTATAATTGCTTGTTTTGAATGAAAGGAAATTGTTGACTGCATGACCTACTGCAGAGAGATTGATTAAAGGCCAAAATGCTTCTTGTTTTTGGAAGTGCATTTACTGCCATGCTACTGTGCATTGAAAGTAAATAGCATTGGTCCTCAGCCGAATCAAATATATAACAGGCCCAGCCAATAGTTACAAAAGGGAGGTTCTTTTTCTGAAACAGTGGACCTTTTACCAATAACCCTTTGAGTACCTAGATAAAATTTAATCCAGAGGGGACCTTTTCCCATCAAATAAAGGGGTTCTTCCAAACCACCCCCCCCCTTTTGCCTGGCTATGGGCCTATACAGATGTTTTAGCAATCTCAAGTAAATTCTTGACTGCTTCTAAGATAGCACATAGTCAAACATAGATATATTATTAGATATTTAAAATACTTCATCAGGAGAGTGCATTTGTTTACAATGAAGTTTTTCCAAGCTGATTTGACAGACAGGTTTTGTATACATGTCTGTTTCCTGCTGCTGTCATGTTATGTAGTGCAACCCTGGATGTGCTGCAGCTGGCTGGTTCAATTATCAAAAGCAAATTGACTACGCTTTGCTTTTAAACTTTGTCTTGAATTGTACACCAATGGGAAAAAAAATTCAGCTAACATTTTATGAGTTGCAGACAGTTAAGGGAAAACATTTTCATGATTTAAAATTATAACATTTGAAAAAAAAAAACATTAAGGTATAATGATGCCCTTTTGGATTAAAAATATTGATTTTTTTTTTCTTTTTTTTTAAACTTCAACTTTTAATACTGCATAATAAACATAGATAAATTTCTTATTCCAGGCACATATATAGGACAGAAGGTGGGAGAGCTCTGTTCAAGGGACTGGGACCTAACCTCCTGGGGGTGGCCCCGTCAAGGTATGTTTATTTAATTTATCTATATAATTTTATATCTGGGCTGGCACTAGCAATGTCTTTTCTTTAGTCAAATTGTACTTCTTCACCACCTTTTTGACCAAATGGTTTAAATTTGACTAAAATAAGTCAAGTCAACCCTACTAGTATTTTGTTTAGCCAATTTTAGTATATTGTAGCATTTGGCTCAATTGACAGGTGTTACTGCTACCCCAGTAATGTACTTGTTATTTTGTTAATGAGTGTTTTCCTTTTACCTGGACTGTAAGTGTACTTGTGGTTATTGGTTCATGACACACACTTGTGACCTCAGATGGACAAATATATTGTTTTGATCAGAAAGCAGGTAAGATGAATGGGAACAGCCCTCTTAATGTCCACTGGCATTAATTATATATAATGACACATTGCTACAATATTCACTCCTCCGCAACCAGTGGGTTTTGTGTTGGTCCTTGAAAAAATTTATTGATGTGAGTAACAAGCAGGTGGAGCTATTTGGTATTGGGGGAAAAGGGGGAGGGTCTTATTATATATCTCCATTATCCTGCTTCGACAGTTGCACATTTGTTTTCAATTATATCTCCATTATCTATATGGACACAGCTTGAACATTGTGTGAAGCTGCTGAAGCCTTCTGGCCAGAAAGCCAGGGCTACTGAATTGTAAGATTTATCTTTACTGTAGCTACGGCAGGTGTCTGCTTTAATGATCCAGCAAATCTTGGGGTCCCCCTAGTCTTCACAAGTTCATTGGCCTGACTTCACTTTTACTGATAGTTGATGTGGGTTATACACTTTACCAGGGCTAGAGAAAGTTTTATTTATTTATTTATTTATTTATTTATTTATATGCTAGATGTCCACTTACAAAGAATGCCCCTTTTCTGTTTTGTGAAAAGCACTTTTCTGTTTTGTGACAGATGGAAATTTTGTTAAAAAAGAGAGAGAGAAGGCCAGTCTGTGGTCAGTGTCAGACTGGACAGACATTGGTTCTATTTAGTATTAATTCTTGCCAGTAGTTTTGTGGGGGTCACTGGTCAGAGTGACCGTCAAGTTTTTATCCACATTTTGTGATGGTGAAATGACAACTGCAGCTGCGGAAGGAAGAAGTAGGTTATTGACACGGACACGCGATATCCAGGGACACGCGATATCCAGGGATGCAGGTGCTCTGTTGTGATCAAGTTCATAGTGGCAGATAAATAGACCAACCAAACAGGAGAAGTGGAGATATTGAATATATCTGCTATTGGTTACAATTCCGTCTGGGCAAAAATATAACTGTGTAACAAGTGATGGAAAGAAATCATGATTTTATAAATCAGATGGAAAGTACAGATGTATAGTTAAAACATAACATGCTACAATGTGAACCTGAAAAGAGAGAGAGTGGCATTTTTTTTTTTTTTCAGTTCATTGATACACAATTGCCCCCTAGCTGTTGAGTTCAAAAATACATTCTCAGCTTTCAATGGCTGAACTGTTGCCGCCTGTGTTATTTATAAGCCGTTAGTCCTAAAAATAGACGGGCTCCATTCAAAATGTCCTTAGTGTAAACAGTCTTTGTGTTGACCTAAAGCAAAGACCAAGCAGTGTGGAAATTGGACATTCTCGTAAACATCACATGATGTAGCGTTTGCACATGTAGATTAGTCAGGTTTGGTTTATGTTTCTGAACGCCTTAACCTGTAGTTATTCCCTGGTTTTGTATTTATGCTTTTAAGTCCTGTTTTTTTCCATGTGTAAAAGGTTGTGGCAACTCTGCTGAGTTTAGGTATAATTCTGGTTTCATGTAGTGAACAAGTGGTTTCACAGACATGGGACATGCACGGCAAGAAATCTGCAGGTTTTTCCGTTATTCTGTGCTATTCTTAATTGTTTTATTTTCATAAGCCTATGTTTACATGAAATTTATTATTATTATTATTATTATTATTATTATTATTATTATTAATTTATTGTATTTTCACAAGGACTGCATTATAAAATAAAATCTTGCCAGTCCTCTGGCTCTTCAAGTGGTCCTAATCCGTCAGACTGTCAATTTCCCCATGTCTGCTTTTATAATAAAGCTTACTGTACATATTTAGATATTTTCTGAAGCAGTTTGGCAGCTAGCCAGGGGATAATTCAAGATGAAATAATTGAGAAAAAAGTGTTTACTGTCTTTTTCTACTGAATAAATCATGAATTAATTGAGGCAGTTTTCCAGCTTGTTAAATATGGGCAATGAGCATAAGGATAAAAACATGTTAGAATAAACAAAGATTGTTACTTAATATTTATATGCCATTGTTATTGTTTTTTTTTTTTTTCTCCTTCCTTGCTTCTGATATTACATTGCTGCATATTTTATTTCTTATTGTGATTTATCTTCTCTTCCAGGGCCATCTATTTCTTCTCCTATGCCAAATCCAAAAAGTATTTCAACGCTGTCTGTGCACCAGATACGTGGGTTGTCCACCTCAGCTCTGCAGCAGTGGCAGGTGAGTAAGAAAGTTCACAAGGTTAAATCAAATGTTTATGCATCCCTCCCCTTCTCCAATGCCTATACACAAGCATACACATATAACTAATTACCCTAATTATAAGTATATTGCATTGCCTGCACATGCTGGAAAACTCCTACTGCAAGTTCAGCGTGAACACGAAGCACGTGCCATGCATGCAGCCAAGGCATGAATCACACTGCACTCGGGCTGGTATGTTGTGATCTTTGCCTGATTACCTGGAGTTCTGAGAATTTATGTTACCTGGAACATGAGGAAAGAAGGAAGCATCCTGGTTTGAGATTTGTGTGTGAGAGAGAGAGAGAGAGATCGAGAGAAATTGTGTTTCATAAGTCAGTCGAGTATTTGAATGCGTTTTCACAACCTACGAGGTCCATAAAAGCTAAAACATTCAAATATATATGATATCGAACCTAATATTTCAAAAGAAATTGACTTAACATTTGTACTCCAATTTTTCTATTTATCAAAGTGCAAAATGGCAAAGGCTGAAAAATATGAGCCATTTTGTATTGAGCAACCAGAATGACACAAGTATCAATAGATCTCACGTTTTCCTCTCCCATTCTGACATCAAATAGGCATAAGATAACACCAGAAGGAAGAATGACCTTTTCTCGGTGTTGTGGTTTCTCTGAGCTGTTAAGAGAACAGAAATCCTCCCAGAAATATCAGTGTTCTGACAGTTGCTAATTCTGCACCCTGAGCCTTATTGTGTGCCTGGTTTGTTTGTAATTAGGTCATGGAACACGGGTTGTGTTTACTTTTCATAAATGCTGGTTGTAAATAATGCAGTGATAAACTCGCTGGTCTTCCTTACAGATCGCTGGATGACTCATTTTGTCTTAAACCTAGGAGAAAAGTACTTCATGAATTATGATAGACAAAATGGATCCATTTGCCTTGAAAATTGATTCTTTCATGAATTTAATGCAGTTTCCCGCTGTGCCCCTGTGGTCAAGATAAAAATCTCTCTCACTTTAAACTTATTTATTGAATTAACATTTTTTTGTTGTGTTTTATATTTTTATTTTGAATTCCTTCATTTTGGCTGAATGATGTTTTGTTGCATGATCAAATGGGAAATGAAGCAAGCGAGCTTTATATGACTTTGTACACTTGAACAGCGTTAGTAATCACCCTTTTATGCTGCCAACAACTATGTCTATATTTAAGTCTCTTATAAAGATTATCTTTAGGCTTCTTTTGCTACATGATTACTCAACGTGGCGACTGGGGACGTGATATTTTCCACCATGTGCTCAGAAAGTGATTGGCCCTTTTTCTGCCTGGAATAAACCTAAGAATTTGTGCCAAGAATATTTCAGGATGATATTTCCCTCCATGTGCCTAGAAATTGATTATTTTTGTAATCATTTATCTGCCTATGATTAAGGCCACAACGTTTTTCCCAAAAGGATATTTCATATTGAACCCCCCCCCCCCCCCCCCATCCCAGGTATTAAGAGAATAATTGGTCTCGTCTTCCTGCTTCCAGTCGAAACTAAGCAATCACCACATTTAGGTGGACTTATTATACCCCCTTCCCCAATCCCCCCCCCAACCCCCCCCCCCCACTTACCCCTGTGCTAAGAAAATAATCAGTCTAAAATTGTAGCCTGCATTTCAGTCCAGTCATATGTTCCCAAAATACATATTTCACCGTGATAACACCTCTCCCATTGCATAAAGGATGATGGCCTCATTTTTCTAATGCCAGAAAAAGCAGTGCAACTATCCAAAATATGTATTTCTCAGTTATTTCACCCCGTGTGTTCAGTTGTATGATTGGTCTCTCTGCTCTGACTGCTTCGCAGCCACGCAGGGTTTGCATCCAAAATATACATAGCACGTGCTCTTCAGTTACAACTGTACACGTGCTTGGCGTGAGGAAGAGGAACGCATGCGTGGGTCAAGAAGAGCACATTACTAGAAAGCACAAGAAAGTCATAAACGCTATTGACTTATTTTTGGATCTGGTACCATGCTATTCATGATCAATGAGCATTCATTACATTTTTAAGATGGTTTGTGTATATTTCTTTTCTATTTTTTGAAAGGGGAGATCTTTAAACTGTAAACTCCTAAGGGTACATCAACATTTTCAACTTTTTTTTTTGGGGGGGGGGCAGCAAGATGTGTCCCTCTTAGTCTGCATGTATAGAATTAAGGTGCTCTTGCAGCAGTCATGCATCAAAAAATGTGTAACAATATGAAAACAAAGGGAAAAAATATAAGAAAATCCTTTCCGCCATGTTTGATATCCATTTTTAGCGACCCTAGATATCAAACAGGTTTTTTTCAGTTTATTTAAGCTGTGGAATATTGATGTAAATGTTACAGGGCAAAAAAAAAAAATAATAATAATAATAATAATAAATGTAATCAAGAGTTATCAGAAAATTGATGCAATTTCACCTTACACAAAGGATGGAAAATGATGATAGCAGTGCACATTTTATTGGGGGGAAAAAAAGCTGTCAAACAGGATTGTTGGAGTGCAGATATAGTAGCAGCCGGCCAGAGCAGTCAAAACAACATCAGACAGTATTTTATGTAGTATTGAATTGACCCAGCTGTGGTGTAAAACAGGAAGCAAGTTGTAAACAAGTAATTTTATATAGACTGACTGCAGCCTCAGAGATTATTCAAATCTCTTAAGTTAGGGAGCACTTTCAACTTAAGTTTGTTAGCATTTGTGTGCGTGTGATGGCAAGTGGTTGACATGCATTTGTGTGACTGAATGCATGTTGCATTCGTTTTCATGTGTTTGCCTCCATATCTGTGTACATGTGTATGTGTGTGCGTGCATATGAAAATATGTGTGCGTGTGTATGAAATTTGTATGTATGCATGTGTATGAAAATGTGTGTATGCACAGAAGCATGTGTGTATATATCTTAACATCTGATGTTGCTTCAATCTCTCCTGACTTGCAAAATTATAGCTAGTATTTGTAAACCTTGCGGTTGATTTACAATAACATCACGCTGCAGAGTTCACTGGGTCAAAGGGAGGCTGGAGATGGCTCTCTGCTTCTTTTACAGGGTCAGTAGGTTAATTGGGATGCGCAGCAGAGACAGACATTTTTGATTGGTTAGAAAGGAAGTCATTTTTGATATATATTGGAAAGCAACCACGTGTTTAATTATTAAGTAACTGATGCTTTGTGATTGTTTTTAAGTGATAATTTTATAATGACAATGATGATAAAATTAATTTGCATTTACAATTTGTATGTTACAGTAATGGTGCTTTTGTAGTGGGCAGTGCATTAAAATTTTTAATTGAAGTAGAAATGTTGATTGTGACTAAGCGCCTTAAGGCCGAGGTAAAAACATGAGATGAAGTGGTAACATATTAATATTGTATTGTAGGCTTAAAGCAGTTTAATTCAACTGTGTCAGGTTTAGTCATATCATAACACATTTAATATGCAGCTGTTGACCAAGCCAATGTAGCAGCTTTTTAATGTCTGCAAGAACTGGTAAACAAGCAATTTGATCCACCAGCTGTGGCTGTGTTCCCATTCCCAGATAGATCTAACAGGATTGATCCATCTCCAAGGGGGTTTCTTGCTAAATTACTTTCAACTTAAGTGGCTGTCTACCAAAGCTGCTAAATGATAGTTAATTACCCCGTAACAGCTTCAGTAGGCATGCCACACATCTAAACTGCTTAAGTTGATTGCAATTTAGCGCGAATTCCATTGGAGATAGATTGATCCACAATTAGTACGATAGGGTCTGGGAATGGTCCCATCATTTCAAACTGGGTTGAATTTGTTTTTAACCAAATTTAGCCTGAAACTGAAAAAGGCTGATGCTGATGGTTCTAGGAATTGATTGAGATGGTTATAAGTGGACATGCATATCTTTATTCTTTTTGTTTTGTTTTTACCAGGTTTTACGGCTTGTACATTAACAAACCCAATATGGCTAGTCAAGACCAGATTACAGCTAGACCAGAAGTAAGTAGAAAATAGTTTACAAATAAAATAAGAATGATGATATCAGTTATTATTATTATTATTATTATTATTATTATATATGCATAATAAAGTGATTGACTTATAGTTTATTCAAAGACACAAATAATAATAATAATGTATTAATAATAATAATGAATGAGTATTTATAAAAAAAAAACTTGCCCTTTCTTATACCCTTTAAAATATGGAGTCTGTGGGCAATATATTTAGACATGATAGTGATGAAATGTAAAAAAGGTAGAGGGGAAGAATAAAGTGTCACCACAGGTTAAGACTGTGACGATTGCAGACTTCACCCTGCGTGTGAACATACAGATATATAAATGTGCATCCAGGGGAAATTGATACAGATAGAAAGTGTCTTAGACATGCACTTTTAAAATTCCCATTTATTTATTTGCATTTTTTATGGATGTTGCTTGCCCTTAATATTTTGTCTTAGGACTCTCGTTTGTGGAATTTCTCAACCAACGTCACCCTATCTACTTCATATACCAGGCCTAAACCATTTGTATAACTTTTACTGGTAACCCAAATCTTTCCGTTATCCACTGATCCAGACTTAAGCTTTCTGTAATAGCAGTAACTTAACCTTTAGCAAAATGAAAATTTTGCAGCCATATTGCATCAGGAGTCTGCAAGAAAGAAATTTAGCACTGCTATTTTGCAGCCCTATGGCAACAAATTCACAAGAAGGAATTGCACTTTGCAGCAAATTTGCTGCAACTTAACTGCAAATTTGCAGCAGGCCTGATATTTTGCTAATAAGTGTTTCTGTTTATCTTGGGAACCAGCCGTACAAAGTTCTTGCCTAAAAGCAAATATGAAGCCAAATCAGCCAGTGTCTACCCTGAGTGAGGTCAAGAGGTAACCCAGTTTTCATGTCCTAAAATGTGACCTATATAACTAGGAAATAGACCAGGGTACTAGAGTGATGAGAGCTCACATTGAATAAGACATGTGCCTCTTCTACCCTAGGTTCTAACTTTTGGTATTGCCAGCTCGACTTTATTCCATATATATGTATATATATCCCGCATCACCACTAAAAAAGTAACATATGGAAGGGTATAGTGAGCAAGCTAGCTTTATAGTGCCTTGACATTCAAGGCAGCCGCTTGAGTTGGCCCAGATTATGCAGCAAGTGTGAATGTTGACATAGTGTATTTTAAGGCATAGACTAAAAGAATAACATTGATGAAGAGAAACAATAAAAACAATAAAAAATTGAGCGATTCAGAGGCTGCAGTGGAGTGTTATACTGTATATTTGGTCCCTGTCTAAAATGCTGCTGATTCAGTGATCAAGTTGCTTAAATTTCAACGCAAGCTCGTTTAAGTAAATGTGCTGTTCAGCGAAGCTTTAAGTTGTTGTGTGTAGGACACAATATTGTGGTAGTGAAGGTTTGGGGATAAACCGCAATCTCTTGCCTGATTGTGGCTTAGAAATTGAATAGTTTTATTCCAACATTTTGTTTGTAACTCCCATCTGTTGAAGTAACTAAATATATCAGTCTGTCAACAGCCATTATATCAAGTCATCCTCATTATTTGTACGAAGTTGTCTGTCTCAATTTCCATGAATTTTACAATTTAATTAATAATAAATTAACTTAATACTACATGTTCTAACATTTATAGTAAGCTAAATATTGCGTAGTTTACCATTTAATATTCAATTAATTAGTCTAACATCAATTATTATTATTATTATTATTACACTTTTTTCCAGAAAAAATGGCTCTCTCACCATGCGGCAGTGCATCTTAAAAATTGGAAGGACACAAGGCATTCCGGGCTTTTACAAGGGCATCACTGCCTCCTACTACGGGATATCAGAGACAATGATCCACTTTGTGATCTACGAATACGTTAAACGATACCTAGTCGAGTATGGCGGGAGCACGCTGGCGGAAGACAGGACTTTCTCAGACTTCTTCAGGTTCATGGCTGCCGGCGCGATTTCCAAGACCATTGCTTCCTGTATTGCATATCCACACGGTTAGTTCTAAAATCTTATTGGAATTTTGCATCTTATCGTTATAATCCTGTAATATTATAAAAATTGATTTTAGAATAATTTCACATTGATTTTAGAATGATGTTTGTATAAGTTCAATGCGGTTTCTAAATATTGCTCTTAATTTTTCCCCCATTTTAGGAACTTGCACCGATGCAACTTGAATAAACTACGCAGCATTTTCAGAATACCGGTTGTAAACGGTCAAAACCTTCTCGTTCATCTTATTTCATCTTATCTTATTTTATCTCTCATTTCGTCTCATTTTATTAAATTATTAATTTTTCGTATTTTCAGAAGTTGCCAGGACGCGACTGAGAGAAGAAGGCAACAAGTATAAATCGTTCTTCCAGACGCTAGGCACGGTGCTACGTGAAGAGGGTCGGCGCGGTCTGTACCGCGGCCTCGGAACGCAACTCGTCCGCCAAATTCCAAACACCGCCGTCATGATGTCAACGTATGAGGCCACAGTGTACGTCTTGACGAAATTCTGTGGCAACGGTTACCATGACGACGATGATTATGATAATGATTGAAGGACGCATGCGCGAAGGAAGGGGTGTGAAGTAAAAGGGGAGAGTATGTTCGAAATCCATTTCAGTTTCCGGCGTTTGTCGAGAATTGTCGAGAAATTCTGCTGAGGAGAGGACATGAAATGGGTGCTGTTAGTTCATCGAAGCATTGCTGCTGATGACCGTCTTGGAAAGTCTATAAGGACGGAAGTCTCTACGCCTGTCAATAAGATTCATATAGAGTCGATACGGTCAATAAGGTTCATATATAGAATGGATATTGTCAATAAGATTCATATAGAGCCCATACACGTGTTTTACAGCATATTGTTCTATCATTTATTTTATTTGGTTGTTTATTTATTTATTTGGTTTATTTTATACAAGTATGTTTAAAGTAAAAAAAAAGTTTTGTATCTTTGAAATGTGCTGGAAGTGACAGCGGTCAACAAAAAAACCTTCTTCCATATTTTTCTACTTAAAATACGTAAGGCTGTGTTCATGTTCTTGCATAATTGTGATTATTTATTTTAAAGCAAAATTTTACTGAAAGTTATTTTTACTACGTTTTGTTTACAGAAAATCTGTACATTGTTTCACTTGCAGTGTTTTCTTGCCAAAAATAGTTGAAAGAAATTATACGAACTGTGCTTGTGGCACATATGGGATATGTTCTTTTCGAAAATTTAAAGAGTCGGTAAAAACTTAGAAGCGACCAGATTTATGTTTTGTTAGTGTTACCTCTTACGTAGAATTTGTTGGAACGGGTATTGTAGTAGTATGTTACTCCAGAAACAGTATTAGAAAAGACGTCGTTCATTACTTCATGGAAATGGATGACGTGAACATATGATCCGCAAGATGGCAGCACTAATCGACTATCAAATCCCAAGTGTGGAATTTGCCATTTATTCAACAAGGACTTGAGGAATCCCCGCAAAACTGGCTAAAACTGTGCAATGAAGATCTATCGTATTTACGATGTACATATTGTATACACTGTTGTACATAAAAATAATTAAATTTATAAATCAGTTTCATCTTTTTGTCGTTCATTTATATTTTATAAAGTAACAACCGAACGCGGTCTTTGCTTCACGTGTGCCAGAGATTAAACTGGTCCCCTCTTGAAATTAGAATTTTGACTAGCTGAATAAAAGTTATAAACCGTACCAAATGGCACCCTTCGCCCTCTAAAATAGCAATGCCNAATGGCTCTCTCACCATGCGGCAGTGCATCTTAAAAATTGGAAGGACACAAGGCATTCCGGGCTTTTACAAGGGCATCACTGCCTCCTACTACGGGATATCAGAGACAATGATCCACTTTGTGATCTACGAATACGTTAAACGATACCTAGTCGAGTATGGCGGGAGCACGCTGGCGGAAGACAGGACTTTCTCAGACTTCTTCAGGTTCATGGCTGCCGGCGCGATTTCCAAGACCATTGCTTCCTGTATTGCATATCCACACGGTTAGTTCTAAAATCTTATTGGAATTTTGCATCTTATCGTTATAATCCTGTAATATTATAAAAATTGATTTTAGAATAATTTCACATTGATTTTAGAATGATGTTTGTATAAGTTCAATGCGGTTTCTAAATATTGCTCTTAATTTTTCCCCCATTTTAGGAACTTGCACCGATGCAACTTGAATAAACTACGCAGCATTTTCAGAATACCGGTTGTAAACGGTCAAAACCTTCTCGTTCATCTTATTTCATCTTATCTTATTTTATCTCTCATTTCGTCTCATTTTATTAAATTATTAATTTTTCGTATTTTCAGAAGTTGCCAGGACGCGACTGAGAGAAGAAGGCAACAAGTATAAATCGTTCTTCCAGACGCTAGGCACGGTGCTACGTGAAGAGGGTCGGCGCGGTCTGTACCGCGGCCTCGGAACGCAACTCGTCCGCCAAATTCCAAACACCGCCGTCATGATGTCAACGTATGAGGCCACAGTGTACGTCTTGACGAAATTCTGTGGCAACGGTTACCATGACGACGATGATTATGATAATGATTGAAGGACGCATGCGCGAAGGAAGGGGTGTGAAGTAAAAGGGGAGAGTATGTTCGAAATCCATTTCAGTTTCCGGCGTTTGTCGAGAATTGTCGAGAAATTCTGCTGAGGAGAGGACATGAAATGGGTGCTGTTAGTTCATCGAAGCATTGCTGCTGATGACCGTCTTGGAAAGTCTATAAGGACGGAAGTCTCTACGCCTGTCAATAAGATTCATATAGAGTCGATACGGTCAATAAGGTTCATATATAGAATGGATATTGTCAATAAGATTCATATAGAGCCCATACACGTGTTTTACAGCATATTGTTCTATCATTTATTTTATTTGGTTGTTTATTTATTTATTTGGTTTATTTTATACAAGTATGTTTAAAGTAAAAAAAAAGTTTTGTATCTTTGAAATGTGCTGGAAGTGACAGCGGTCAACAAAAAAACCTTCTTCCATATTTTTCTACTTAAAATACGTAAGGCTGTGTTCATGTTCTTGCATAATTGTGATTATTTATTTTAAAGCAAAATTTTACTGAAAGTTATTTTTACTACGTTTTGTTTACAGAAAATCTGTACATTGTTTCACTTGCAGTGTTTTCTTGCCAAAAATAGTTGAAAGAAATTATACGAACTGTGCTTGTGGCACATATGGGATATGTTCTTTTCGAAAATTTAAAGAGTCGGTAAAAACTTAGAAGCGACCAGATTTATGTTTTGTTAGTGTTACCTCTTACGTAGAATTTGTTGGAACGGGTATTGTAGTAGTATGTTACTCCAGAAACAGTATTAGAAAAGACGTCGTTCATTACTTCATGGAAATGGATGACGTGAACATATGATCCGCAAGATGGCAGCACTAATCGACTATCAAATCCCAAGTGTGGAATTTGCCATTTATTCAACAAGGACTTGAGGAATCCCCGCAAAACTGGCTAAAACTGTGCAATGAAGATCTATCGTATTTACGATGTACATATTGTATACACTGTTGTACATAAAAATAATTAAATTTATAAATCAGTTTCATCTTTTTGTCGTTCATTTATATTTTATAAAGTAACAACCGAACGCGGTCTTTGCTTCACGTGTGCCAGAGATTAAACTGGTCCCCTCTTGAAATTAGAATTTTGACTAGCTGAATAAAAGTTATAAACCGTACCAAATGGCACCCTTCGCCCTCTAAAATAGCAATGCCGGTTGTGTGTGTGGGGGGGGGGGGTCGCATCCGCGGCCCCCCCCCCCCCCCCCTTCAAATAATCTTAGATCCGCCCCTGTCTTTTGTGGTGAATGAACGCACAAGGGCCACTATCATAACCCGATTGCTTTCCCTCAAAATAAATATTTTAAATCAAGATTAAGATGCATTCTTTGCTTTTAATCTATCGTAATTATTTAGCACCAGCTGGAAACGACATTCATACCGTTACATGTGGCTCGTCACCAACCTGGACATAGGCCTTAATCAGACTGATAGAGTTGTTACTGACGGTATGCAAACTAAAGTTCTATAAAATATTTCTGCTTGTGGTAAATGCTAAGCATATATGATCCAACAACCAAGCTAATTAATGAACGTTTTTGTTCGTTTATTCCTCTTTGTTTTAAGGGAACCGATGGCGCTATTATTGTTTCTTTGACAAAAATACGCTCGAATAACGTCTGAAATAACGGCCATGACTTAGTTCAAGTTCAAATTATCTTACCACTGAGAAGTGCCGACCAAAAAAAAAGCCATAAAGTGACAATCTCCAGTATTACCAGTAGATGTGAAAGGGAGGGGGGGGGGCACCAAAACTTAAAGATTATTGTACGGATTTGCATTTTATTACTCTTATTACGTTGGCGGTTTGCGTTTATTTAATCAGTTTCTCATAAAACCTGGTCTATTTAATCTATGGTTCATAAGCATAGACCACACATCTTTTGAATATGAGGGGAAAAATATGTGTATTGCAGGCTTAAAACGTTGCTATGTCCATCCATCTATGGTCCTTTTTCTTATCGTGCGAAACACTATTACTTCGCCCCATTTTGACTAACCGAGTCCAAATGTTATCATTATTTTTTAATTTCAATAAAATTAATAATTAAAATTATCATATTACTCGATCTCAGACGTTTGCTTCCAATTTGAAAGCTTTAAAATCCAGTGCACGATCTCGCTGATCATGTCGAGAAAAGCCTGTCCCAACTACGTTTTGGACGCACGGTTTTTTAGGTTCTATGCGGATGAGGGAGTCTAGACTACAGTGACCTTGTCTGAGGACGGCAGATTAGAGCTCCTGGCGATGTCATGTCGTCTGACTAGAAAGATAAAACCCTAATTTCTTTAATATTTTCTCCAGAATTGCATTCTTGCGACGCAAAAGATCTACCATGAATACCTGTAATTTATTATTATCATTATCATTATTATTATTATTATTATTATTATTATATATGAGAGGTGGTGAAAAAGCACTAAAATCATCAATTCGACTCAAAAGAAAAAGAAATTGTCGATCTCGGTCCAAAAGAAGGAATGATATCGCCCAAGCCGCTATTAATAGCAGCGGCATGGGGAGGCCACTGATCATGTGACAGAAATCAACAAGCCTCGACGTGACCCAGAATTTGACCTGGACTGAATGAACGCTCTGTTTACATGATGATATGCAATAATTTCCATACAGCTGTTAACAATTAGTGAACACGTGATCTGTACATACGCAGACAGCGCGACGGCGAGACAGCGTTCTTCAAAGCGTACAATTACAGAGATGGAAGGAACGGTTTGAAACAGAGGTAGGCTAAGCTTCTTTTTCTCTTTCGCTAGCTCTTTAATTATTTCTTTCTCAAGCGCGGCACATATGCACACACAAAGAAGGGAAACAAACATACCCTCACGAGTAGGCCTACGCATATTTCAGGCCCGTCGTCCGGGGAGGGGGGAAGGGGAGTTCGAAAGAACTCTCCTTTTTGCCAGAAAGATGTCCCCACTGGGTAAAATTTTACCTAGGTACACGGAGCTTTCATGGTGAAAGGTCCACTATTCAGAAAAAATCCTTTTGAAATTGCTGGCTACGGGCCTGCATTTCTCTCTGATGAGCTCTTTCACACACATGCACAGACGTTTTCTGTCACTTACCGTGCTCTCTCTCACACGGGAGTGCACTCGTGTACACATGCACAAACCCATATTCACACACCCTCTCTCTGATGCTCTTTCTGGACTTCCCTCTCTCTCTCTCTCTCACACACACACATACACACACACACACACACACACACCACCGGTAAAACGTCGCAACAAACATCCGAGCCAGTGTAACGTGCCACAGAGAGTCCCCCATGAGTCTGCTTCGCCTTCATTTGTACAGGTAAGCTTAGCCCTAGATTTTGACTCGATTAGGTAAAGCTGACCACAGTTATTACGAAATGGTCGGCGGACTTTTAGTTACACAGACCCTCAGTTTCGTTACACCCAGGGGCTCACCCAGGATTATTTGAAGGTGAGGTTTAATTTTTTTTTAGGAATGGCAGGCCTCGGATGCAAAGCCTCTCCTCGCCCCTCCCCCCTCCACCCCCTCTCCCCTGCTGAAGGGCCTCGTGATTTTTTTTTTTTTTTTGTCTTTTAGACGGCAACTGGTGACATTGGCTACAGTTTTGAAATATGGTTCTAATTTCAAAAGGGGGATACTGGTGAGATTTTTTTAAATAAAACGAATCCAGGGGGGGGGGGAGGACCCCCTGNCCACATTTTCAGAAAAAGAACCCCCCTTTTGAAGTTGCTGGCTACAGACCTGTGTATCGCACTCTACTTGTGTGCTTGTTTTTTACAGGGGTCATGTCGATACTCCCCCGCACCGATACTACCCCACACCGATAGATCCCCGCACCGGTACATCCTCGCACCGATACTTCCCTCAGTGGGGGAGTATTGGTGCGGGGAAGTATTGGTGCGGGGACGTATAGGGATGTTTCAGTAATTATACCTTGACTGACAGTAATAACACGGATGTTTTTAGGCGCTTCTGTTAGCTATTAGCACTTATATAAAATATTACAAAAACTGAATATTGAAAATCAGGTTTGTCTTAGATGAGATGTATATACATAAGCAGCAATGCGATACTCCTGGATTATATACATGTAAAAAAAAAAATTACTTGACCTATAGATGGAAGTTAGTCTAAAAATATAGGCAATCTAAGTCCATCATTACAAAACATCACCTGTAATTTTTTTATCAATGTTTTATGTACCTTAACAAGGATATGTTTCATAAGCATTAATTTTTATTTATTTATTTCAGTTTGCTTTGAATCATTGATCCTCATTTTCTTTCATTTGTTTTTCAGTTCTTTCAGTCTTCGGTTTTTCAGTTCCCGTTCAAAATGGCGGCACTCCCGGCTAAGGTTGTGGCGGTCGTGTCTAACAACATTCAGGTGGCGTTCATGCTGATTTTGGGTCTTTTGATTCCAAACTTTGCGAAACGTTTCTTCTTCAAAAGACGCCTTCCCTATATAAGTGAAGAAAAACAACAATGGATGAAAAGTATGACAGATCCGGACGCTTTCGCCGAGTCAGCTTTTACTTGGCAACAGGCCAAAACTCGCTGGCTTCGAGGAATGCAGGTCCTTTACTCAAAAGCAGACGAAGGTTGTTTGGCGCCAAACGTCCCATTATTTCGTATCCAAGACAAGTCGAAGTGTCGTCTGCTCGACTTTGCCAAACCGGGTCGCCCTCTGGTGGTCAACTTTGGAAGTTGCAGCTGACCCCCGTTCATTGCAAAATTGGACGCCTTCAAGGAGTTGGTGACCAAATTTGCAGATATCGCTGACTTTATCACTATCTACATCCAGGAAGCGCACCCATTTGAAGGATGGTACATCGCCACAAAACGGTATAATCTACACCGACACAAAACTCTCGAGGATCGCTGTCAGGCGGCGGCCATGTTGGATGAAGAAAATCTTTCCTGCCCATTGCTTGTCGATGGTATGGACAACGCCGCGCAGAGAGCTTACGGGGCTTTTCCAGAACGACTGTACATCGTGAAGGATGGCCGCGTAGCTTATGAAGGAGGCTTGGGCCCGGATAAATACAGGCTAGAAGAAGTGGAAGCTTGGTTGGAATCGCATTAGGCATTTGAACGTAAAGACCAACATTTGTAGAAGTTTTAATCACTGACACCGACAAGCTCTGTTTACACTTTCTGAGCAACAGACTCTCATATGGAAATGCCCAATTCTGTCGCAAGTAATCAGCCCTAAAGAAAAAGTCCTATGGGCCAATTTTGTATAGACTATAAGATCTTTTCTTAAGGGAAAACCGTGTCCATACAGATAAAGCAACTCAACACACAGATAAATGCACATGTATATCCTTGCCAGAAATCTAAATGATTTACTACGACTTATTAGAACCCCCTTTACAGTGGACGGCGTCCTTTCTGCGTGCTTTGTGCGACCATGAAATTGGCATCGCTGTGGTCGTAGAAAGGAGCCACAAGCATCGCTTTGGTTACTGAATGAATTCGAAGTGATCGACAAGTTTTCGGCACGAACACGTGAAGTATTTTTTGTTTACTCTCAAACGGGGTCGTACCACGGGACGCAGAAAAAAAAACGCCGTCCAGTATGAATGAGGCTTGAGTCACTGTGTCGCTAGGTCCCCTTTGAATAGCTAGATCACTCTACCCATAAACGTGGTTGGGTGAGAACCAAACCGTTCTATCAAGGCTTCTAGCTCCAACTTGTGGTTTTGAGATTTTGGCAGTTGAAGCTTTTAACGTCCCTTAAGTAGTACGACAGAGCAAATTCTCAACTTTTCAGCGATACCAATGCCACCAACACTGATAAAAATGGAGATAAAACGTTTAAAATCTTCCCGTCCCAAAAAGTTCACAGCCCGGTGGAAAATGGCACTCGGAGGCTGTGATACTGAAGAAAGATCTATCTACCGTTTGGCTCTCGTGCCGAAAGATTAACCGTGCTTTTTATCTTTAAATTTGTGCCATCAATGAATCCCCGAACTGCTAGCTCAGTTTTGTCGATAGATATATTCCTGTTGAAGGTCTTAATAATGATGGGTCTTCCTAGCGATAAAACTTTACCAAACTCGCTCATATCACAAGTTTTTGATTGTTTAATCTTATTACTGGAGGTTGAAACATAATGAAACATTGGGCGCTGGTCTTAAGACCGCTTTATTTTAAATCAAATCGAAGTTCAATCGATTCGAGTATCTATTAATCATAAATTTGATAAGCACATTTTCATCTTTTTTACAATATAGTTAATTCCATTATAAAAAAAAAGAAGATAAACCATTAATATTTCATGACGAAAGAAACATTAGTTATAGTCATATGTAACCAAATAATAATCAGAAACATAAGACGGTGGTGTTTGAGAGGGTATTAAGTTCAAGGTAGGAAGAACTGAACGTTTTGTATAATTTTTATTTCAATCATACATGTAAGAGGAGTAATTTTCCATAGTAACTGTGTTGATTCCTCCATGATGGTGATGTTTTAATGGCCGTCGGCAGAAATATCACTTGATCTATCGGCATCAGCGCAATCATTGGTATACCTTCTTTTTGCTGAGTTTAAGTTTGGTTTCCTGTCAAACAAATCACCATGTATAATAAAATAATGCTATGCAGAAAATCATCACTGGTATTCTGTCGTCGTATTTTTCAAGAGCACAAATGAAAAGTTGGATATATGACAGCTTTTTTCATCAAGTATGTTGTCTGTTAGGCGCTGCTGCACACTTGAAATACGCTCTCCCTGTTGTATCAGACACTGTATTTGTTTTGATAAACGTGCAGTGTAGAACAACATAGACGATACACGATCGATAAAGCAGACTAGAGTATTTAACAGTTTTAAATTATTTGAGTTCTCTCTCGGTAAAGGGCTCTAACACGTTTAACACATCAAGATGCTGCAGTAAATATTGTGTTCTGTGGGCAGGAAATGCCAAAACTACTCGGAGCTCTCCCGATAGGCAAGATCATCTACCAAAACGAGGGTAATCTCACCCCCCCCCCCCCCCAGAATCGGTCCATCACTGCATTGGATACAGTGTGGCCCTCTTCTAGAAATAAAATGAAACCCAAATTGTTTTAAGTAGAATACGTTACTGAACTAAAGACCTCGAACATGTGACAGTTTGTGAAAAATGACTCCTCCAGATAAAAATGAAAAAAAAAAATGATTACGAAATCATTCCTCTTTGCGACAGGCTTTTTAAAAATAGGAAAACATTAGTATATTCTGGATAGTCCCAAGTACCATTGCCATATTTACATCTATTATGTACTAAATTCTGCACGTGTATCAGTATTTCCGACCAGTTCAGCCTCAGATTTATCTTGTATACACGCCAGCATATCAACACAGCATCCCAGGTACATGCAGTTGGATCTAATCCAAACAATGGCCACTTCTGAAGAAATATCTGATAATCATATCATCAGTGTGTGTCAATTATGTATATATCAGGCATGTAGGTACGTAACCTGACCTCATATTGTTAAAAACTGCAGGAAAGAGGTTGGCAGGCGACACCAGTCCGTCCTCTTCAAGACATCTGCCGTCTGTAGAACATTGCCGTTAGCTGGCGGAAAAACAATTACTTATCTAAGGTAAGTACCACTTTGCTTCTGTTCAATGGATCAGTTTCTCCTTTTTGTAATCAGGGGATTTGCATCATCACTGTTTTTCAATATATACATGTATGTCCATTAAACTTTTTTTGGGTGTCTCAGACGGTTAACCTGATTACATTGACTGCGCCTTATCAAGAATCCCATTTAAGCTGAATATATTCTGCTAGTATGACAACTTCTTTTCTTAGATCTTTGTTACAGCTAGTCACTCGCAGCACCATCACACATTATCCAATATATTTAGTTTATTTTTACTCAAAATAAACTTTGCAAGTTGTAAGGAAGCGACCATGATGTCTTACGTTTCAAAATTGCATTAAACGCTCATTTCAAATAAATAGCTTGTGATTACTTTCACAATTTCGCCGTTGTTTAATCAAAAACACCAAAATATTTTTTTACAAAAATACACCAAAAGAAATACACCTTATCGTCTATGTAAATAATTAACATTAAATATGATAAAGACTTCATAAGGACCATTTATTGACACCTAGTATACAACAATAGTGCATCTATTATAACAACTGGATAGTTTTGATATTTGCCTCACAATCATAAAAAAAATATTTATAACTGTATTACAAATTTAAGTCACAAACTTGCAGAGTCGTCTTGCATATTGTATCAGTCGATAAACGTGGGGGGGGGGGGATGAGAAGACGCAAGAAGAGGGTACCTTCCAAGCTAAGGGGTGGGGGTATACGTACTCTGTTATCTTGGATCCGCCACCACCAGATGTCTATCATTCCCCTAAACTGGTTAAAGAGTAACAAACTGGTTAAAGAGTAACAAACTGGTTAAAGAGTAACACATTAGTGGTGAGACAGGTGCCAGAAGTAGTTCTCTTGGTCTAATCAATGTGAAGAATTCGGGGCTCTGTGACACTTGTCAGGTCTATGCACGTGCCCCATCGCATCCCTTTGTTAAAAAGAAGGCACTTTGGATCAAACTGATATCTCTATCAGTCGGCTGACGAGCGCATAACTTGACAAAATAAAGGCGTCTTGTTAATTATTTACTATGCCCCTTTTGCGCAGTCAAATTTTCGTTATCATCAAAAACGTGCAAATATTAATGTTGGTTTTAAAAACATTAAAAACCTTCGATACTGAATACGAAACACATAAATACTAGCAAGCCTCGCATTGTTTGCACGATTACCCAAAAGCTAGATCTTTTACTTCTCTTCACCAGAATTTTAGAAATCTAGAATTTGCAAATCTATTTTTACTTTGCTTTGCTGTCTTTGCATGGACCCATCTATTTAGAATCAGTTTATGTTGACGAAAGTATTCATTATATATAGACTTGGCATTTAATATGGAATATTTATTTTCCAAATCAGTTTTCATCATTTTTTTCCTATTTTGCTGTCTGATAAATGAAAATAAGGATTAAAATCGTTTTTTAATAACTTTTTATTATCTATTTGATGTCATTGTCATTGTATACTAGGTGTCAATAAATGGTCCTTATGAAGTCTTTATCATATTTAATGTTAATTATTTACATAGACGATAAGGTGTATTTCTTTTGGTGTATTTTTGTAAAATATAAAAAAATACACCAAAAGAAATACACCTTATCGTCTATGTAAATAATTAACATTAAATATGATAAAGACTTCATAAGGACCATTTATTGACACCTAGTATACAACAATAGTGCATCTATTATAACAACTGGATAGTTTTGATATTTGCCTCACAATCATAAAAAAAATATTTATAACTGTATTACAAATTTAAGTCACAAACTTGCAGAGTCGTCTTGCATATTGTATCAGTCGATAAACGTGGGGGGGGGGGGATGAGAAGACGCAAGAAGAGGGTACCTTCCAAGCTAAGGGGTGGGGGTATACGTACTCTGTTATCTTGGATCCGCCACCACCAGATGTCTATCATTCCCCTAAACTGGTTAAAGAGTAACAAACTGGTTAAAGAGTAACAAACTGGTTAAAGAGTAACACATTAGTGGTGAGACAGGTGCCAGAAGTAGTTCTCTTGGTCTAATCAATGTGAAGAATTCGGGGCTCTGTGACACTTGTCAGGTCTATGCACGTGCCCCATCGCATCCCTTTGTTAAAAAGAAGGCACTTTGGATCAAACTGATATCTCTATCAGTCGGCTGACGAGCGCATAACTTGACAAAATAAAGGCGTCTTGTTAATTATTTACTATGCCCCTTTTGCGCAGTCAAATTTTCGTTATCATCAAAAACGTGCAAATATTAATGTTGGTTTTAAAAACATTAAAAACCTTCGATACTGAATACGAAACACATAAATACTAGCAAGCCTCGCATTGTTTGCACGATTACACAAAAGCTAGATCTTTTACTTCTCTTCACCAGAATTTTAGAAATCTAGAATTTGCAAATCTATTTTTACTTTGCTTTGCTGTCTTTGCATGGACCCATCTATTTAGAATCAGTTTATGTTGACGAAAGTATTCATTATATATAGACTTGGCATTTAATATGGAATATTTATTTTCCAAATCAGTTTTCATCATTTTTTTCCTATTTTGCTGTCTGATAAATGAAAATAAGGATTAAAATCGTTTTTTAATAACTTTTTATTATCTATTTGATGTCATTGTGACATCAGTTCATTAATGCAATTCGCCAGAGAAGCAAACAAAAACACATTGCCTTTTCTATGTCATACGACCACCATTAAAAGAGATATTTCGGACCTTCATATTTCCAAATTATTTTCTGTTAAAGAGTTACACGGTCCACAATGGACCCTCATGTCAGTGTCTAGTCACAGTAACGGTTGCTGTTACGCCTGACCTCTTCTGGCAGCTACCAGCGCTCTCAAGTGGCAAGGCATTCCTTGGGATAGGTTTTT